GAGTCTGTAATCATACGATTTCTTAATTTTACATCGCGTGACGAGATGAACGAACCAAAAAACTAGATCAAGGTGACTTATTTACGACAGTATCTACACAGAGTGACTCAGTGGGTGAGTTAACATTTGCACATCATAGTCCTTACCAGGTTGTACGGTTCGCTTACCTGCAAGTTGACAAAGTTGATGTACTTCAACACGGAAGCTGAGTCAGTCCAGTAGTAAACTTGATTTACTGTCATGTCCAATTCTTCTCGAATAATTTTGGAGAGCCTTACGGAGATAACGCTGGCTGTCAGTTCCAATCTTGGAATTGAAATTTCATTTATGAGACCTCATCTTGCTTTTCCCATGAAAAATTTGCTGAACAATTTGCGCTATCCTTTTGGCCCCCAACAAGACCAAGTACAGTATTTCTTAAACTTTATCTGACCGCGACTGTTTTATCTTATCCGATTTTTTTATCAGCCATAACAACTAAGTAACTTACTTGAATTCACTGTGATCATACATGTATGTGACCCATCACAAGATTTCAGGGAATAGTTAGGCGAGGTGAACGGACGCTCACGGTACACTAGCGCGCTAAAACAAAAGAACGAGCTTTTAACACGTTAGCTGCGTGTAAGATATTTGTCTCATTAACTTCGCAGTCATTGTCTTGCTTCGCACGGTAGAAACAAAGGAACGTGTTAAGATCTTGCTCGCAACTTTGCACGATATAACACGGTGACCGTGCCAATTTTATAACACACCTCTTAGCTCTTAAGATGCCAAGATAAGTGTTCAGTAAATAATACTCGGCTTCGCTCGGAAAGCTTCGTTTTGCGCCGCCTAACTTGCGGTCAGTTATTTATTTTAAAAATGCCGGTTTGCATAGAGTGACTATGCAATTACACTATTAATTTTTTTTTAAAAAAAGCAAATCTATTTACTCCGCTGCTGATGTCACAGGATAATCGCGGTGTAAGATTTCGTGGTTTTCCAGTGGTCGTAATCAGTTCGGGCCATAACCATTTCTGGATATCGGTTTCGAGCTTTGTGATTGGGTGCGATCAACACCAAAACAAAGCAAATTTGGCCGAGAGGTGCTGGAAACAAGAAGAAGCTGAATTTTTTTTTGTTTTTTTTTGTGGCGGCCATGTTGTAATGCGGTAGTAAGCTGAAACAAAATTCGCTAATAAGGACTGGACGTAAGATATAATTAAAAATATTCGTTTATTTCAAACATTCAACATGCATGTCCTCGACATTCTCGCATTCTGGAAGAGTAAAGCGGATTCTTTCTAGCACAAATTCTTTGTAACGCTGTGGTCCTTCCACCAAGAGCGTCACAGGAATAAAAGCTCCTCCGCCAGCCTGTTTGTATCTGGAGAACTTCTGGGTAGAGCTTGGCTTCGATGTTACTGTCCGTTCTCCGTTGATTTCCCTATTTTGGGTTACAAGAAAACCAATTAAATAAGGCTGAACCAAATACTGATAACAATTGGGACGAGTGAGGTGTGAGATCGCGGAATCGGGACAATTTCATTTCTCTGTAGTATAGGTCGAGGGAAGACAATATCTTGCTTCCCTCCGATTTTTAAATAGACATTATCAATTTCAGTCCATCAAGCCTTTACGAAAAAGTAACAGTAAAGCAAGAAAACAGTAACTTACCCTTCAATTCCTGGTTATTTTGCCACATCGAAGCAAAGCATGCGGCTGTATGTTTAGAAAGTGCTGAACCGTACCGATCTGCTGCCCTTTGACATCTCCTAAAGTGTATGTCTTTCTCTGCGATTTGCTGAAAATCTGGACTTCTCGTAGAGCCTCTGGAATGCGTTCCATTTCTCGTGGAAGAAGACAAGCCAGTGCAAGCGAGTCATACGTGTTGTCGTCTTCACTTTGAATAACAAGCGGTGTTCCACGTGGAGCTTTGATCTTGAAATTATGATACCTGGAAAATAAACGCCAATAAATACATGAGTGGGATAAAATAAAATCAAGTAGTCACAATCTATATTAAGACGAATACACATGATCGAATTCAATGCAATAGAATCATACAAGGTATTTTGCGTGCTATTGATCGATTCGCGGGAGAATCTAGGTCTCAGAACACTACAAATTCGGTCCTACAGCATTTAGTCAGCAATAATATGTCCTTTACAATTACCCTTTGATCTGAACACCCTGTATAGAAAGTTTGTTTAGGTAATCACTGCAAAATGTGAAAGCACGAGCGGTGTTTCTAAACGAGTTTCACAATATTACAGACAAGTCCCTTGTGGTTTTAGAGGAAAATTTCACTCTCATCAGTTCGTGTAGTTAAACTCCAACCTTTGTTTCCGGAATGCTGTAATAGAGACACTTCGGCAAGGCTTTCCACCAATGTGATTTCTTTATTTTCATCTTCATGCCGCTCTTATCGCACATTTCCCGGATACGATACCTGAAGATGTGAGAGCTCAGTGAACGAATACCTCTTTGTTTTATGTATGCCCGAAGGAGAACTTACTCGCTGGATAATCACACTTATGTGTTAGATCCGTGGTTTCCTGAAATTATTTTTTAGTGTGCATTCGCCTTGGCTGAATGAATCTCTCTGATGTCAAGATCGACATAGATTCGAAATTTCATCCAGAGCTCCGATTTAAAAGATTCTTTGTTTGTAGCACTGACCCAGGTCCGTGGCAGATTTGTGCCACAAAGACGACAAAGTGTCTCGAGATACTGAATGTGTTCATCCATGCTGTTGGCTTGATCTGAAATTCACAATGTAGGCTTATAAAGGTCCGATAAATAATTGTCCTTTTACTTTAAATTGGCCGGCCACAACGTATGGTTAAAATTTATGGTTTACACGATACTCCGATGGATCTCAGTGAACAAAGGAATCCGTCTGGTAGTTTGCACACTAACAGACTTTCAACATTCGTGCACTCGAGCAAAAACCTCGTGCACTCGATTGGAATTTTGACAAATTGGAAGCAAATTTATTCTAGTTTTTTTAAAGGTTTTTTTTTAGGAATCAAAAAAAATATTGCATACCTGAAAACCTCAACTAAATAGAGGTTATTCCTCGATCGAGCCCTTCGCAACATGGACCTCCACCCGACTTTTCATCTGAATTTTTCCTTCTCGTCATCGCGACCACCATCAGTTCTCTGCTTGTTGTGTGTAATTGCTTGTCTTCTGTAATTTTGCAAGGTTTCATGGGATATGGGTAGGGAACTAAGTCGCTAGGGCTCGAATAAAGTAATGAGTGAGTTTCCTCGATGTCCCACTACGACATCCATGTTGGTGACGTCATCAAGTATCCAGAAATGGTTATGGCCCGGACTGGTAATTTGCGTTACTAATTAACTTGACCTCTTTTTGTTAAAGCGTCAAAGTCTTGCGTGAGAAGATAAGTTCGCGTATGACGCTGAAAGTTCATGAAGAAAGGTTGTGTATTTTCTGTGAGGAAAAGAACGTTACTTGACTGATTTCCTATAATCTTGTCCATAATCTTTTTTTTTTGGTTTTTTTCAGTCGTGTCATGTCCTGTGACTATCAAGTCATGTTATGTTGTGCAAAAATCGCCACCGAATGAAATGAATTCGCAACAAAGCCGGGGTTCGTCAAACCTCTGAGGCCTCACAATATTTTCAAATATTCCATGCCATATTGTGGAATGTCAAGAAATCTTCCAGAGAGTTGTTGTAAAAGGTTATCTCTCTTGTAAGCCTAAGAATTGAAACGCTTAAAACTTGAATGCATGTAGCTTGATCCCAAGAGGCTTTATTGTAAATACGTTCTGACGGCCGGTAAAAAATGCAGATAGAAAACGAAGCATTACATTTATACGGCAGACCACTCTTTACTGGTTTCTTTGCGGAATACTGGCAATACAACATCATTGATTCCTCAAGATTATAAAATGCTCAATTGGAGGGCTAACGCTCGAAACGTCAGCTTCAGAAACTCATGATGATGGCCAATTTACATTGTCAACTCAGTTTGTCAAGCCAAATAGTTTTAATACCCCACCAAAGTTTCTTTGAAAACCTACCCCGTTGATTAATGTTGTTTATGAAAACTATGGATGGGAAAAGTTCTCATGGCAAAAGTTAAGAAAAATGTTGTCAGTTTTGTTTATCTTTGTCCTGAGACTTTAAAGTCATGTAACGTTCTGCAAGAATCACAACTTGAGTAAAATGAAAGGTGACAAACCGACTTCTTCAAATAGTTTCCGGGTGTAATCGACCCAGCCCGTTTTTGTAACTTAACATGTGTGTTCCTGTTTGTAGTGACTCGTTATTAATCCAGATTATCGACTCATTTAGTATTGTGTTACTAAAAATAATGTTCCTCTGATAACAGGAGAGGATGGCAATGGAAACCTAACAGCAGAAGCCATGACACCTTTCATGAGCATCGCCTTATTTGTTGCCTTGTTCTTGCTCAACTCAGATCGCAGTCAGAAAGCCATTGAGATATGCAGCGAATGTTTGATTTTGCTAAATTGCACCGATCAAAACAGCAAAGACCAATTTGATTCAGTACTGCTACAATTTTACAGCGACATCTATACCGTTCTTTTCAGCGCTTATCGTCATATCTCTGACAACATAAGTGCGGAATGATACGGGAGGAAACTGTTTGACTTATACCGCGTGTCTGGAATTATACTTTATAAACTCGGTGAAAACCTAAAAGCGAAGGAATATGTTGAGAGGGCCCTTGCCATAACAACCAAAATTGGCGACAGAAGCGGAGAAGCATCCTGTTACAGAAACCTTGGAGGGTTGCTTCAGTCGCTCGGGGAATGCCACAAGGCTAAAGAGTATCTCCAAAGGGCACTTGTCATCAGAACTGAAATTGGCGACAGAGAAGGGGAAGCATCATGTTATGGAATCCTAGGTACTGTGTTTGAGTCGCTTGGCCAATACAACAAGGCTAAAGAGTATCTCCAAAAAGCGCTTGTCATCACAACTGAAATTGGCGACAGAAAAAGGGAAGCATCATCTTGTGGAAACCTAGGTACTGTGTTTCTGTGGCTTGGCCAATACGACAAGGCTAAAGAGTATCTCCAAAAAGCGCTTGTCATAAGAACTGAAATCGGCGACAGAGAAGGAGAAGCAACTGACTACAGAAACCTAGGTACTGTGTTTCTGTTCATTGGCAAATACGACAAGGCTAAAGAGTATCTCAAAAAAGCGCTTGTCATCATAACTGAGATTGGCGACAGAAAAGGGGAAGCATTATGTTATGGAAACCTAGGTACTGTCTTTGAGTCGCTTGGCCAATACAACAAGGCTAAAGAGTATCTCCAAAAAGCGCTTGTCATCATTATTGAAATTGGCAACAGAGAAGGGGAAGCATCATGTTATGGCATCCTAGGTACTGTGTTTGAATCGCTCGGCCAATACGACAAGGCTAAAGAGTATCTCCAAAAAGCGCTTGTTATCATAACTGAAATTGGCGACAGAAAAGGGGAAGCATTATGCTGTGAAAACCTAGGTACTGTGTTTGAGTCGCTTGGCCAATACAACAAGGCTAAAGAGTATCTTCAAAAAGCGCTTGTCGTCATAATTGAAATTGGCGACAGAAGAGGGGAAGCATCATGTTATGGAAACCTAAGTAATATGTTTAAGTTGCTTGGCCAATACGACAAGGCTAAAGAGTACCTCCAAAGGGTGCTTGTCATCAGAACTGAAATTGGCGACCGACAAGGGGAAGCATCATGTTATGGAAATCTAGGTACTGTGTTTGAGTCGCTTGGCCAATACCACAAGGCTAAAGAGTTTCTCCAAAAAGCGCTTGTCATCAGAACTGAAATTGACGACAAGGAAGGGGAGGCAACTGACTACGGAAACCTAGGTACTGTGTTTTATTCGCTTGGCCAATACGGCAAGGCTAAAGAGTATCTCCAAAAAGCGCTGGTCATCATAGCTGAAATTGGCGACAGAAAAGGGGAAGCATCATGTTATGGAAACCTAGGTGCTGTGTTTGAGTCACTTGGCCAATACGGCAAGGCTAAAGAGTATCTCAAAAAAGCGCTTGTCATCATAGCTGAAATTGGCGACAGAAAAGGGGAAGCATCATGTTATGGAAACCTAGGTACTGTGTTTAAGTCGCTTGGCCAATACGACAAAGCTAAAGAGTATCTCCAAAAAGCGCTTGTTATCAGAACTGAAATTGGCGACAGAAAAGGGGAAGCATCATGCTATGGAAACCTAGGCACTGTTTTTCTGTCGCTTGGCCAATACGACAAGGCTAAAGACTATCTCCAAAAAGCGCTTGTCACAACAACTGACATTGGCGACAGAAACGGGGAGGCAACTAACTACGGAAACCTAGGTACTATGTATGAGTTGCTTGGCCAATACGAAAAGGCTAAAGAGTATCTCCAAACAGCGCTTGTCATCAGAACTGAAATTGGCGACAAGAAAGGGGAGGCAACCGACTACAGAAACCTAAGTACTGTGTTTCAGTCGATTGGCCAATACGACAAGGCTCTAGAGTATCTCCAAAAAGCGCTTGTCGTCACAACTGAAATTGGCCACAGACAAGGGGAAGCATCATGTTATGGAATCCTAGGTACTGTATTTCAGTCGATTGGCCAATACAACAAGGCTAAAGAGTATCTCCAAAAAGCGCTTGTCATCAGAACTGAAATTGGCGACAGACATGGGGAAGGAACTGACTACGGAAACCTAAGTACTGTGTTTCAGTCGATTGGCCAATACGACAAGGCTCTAGAGTATCTCCAAAAAGCGCTTGTCATCGCAACTGAAATTGGCCACAGACAAGGGGAAGCATCATGTTATGGAATCCTAGGTACTGTATTTCTGTCGCTCGGCCAATACGACAAGGCTAAAGAGTATTTCCAAAAAGCGCTTGTCATTATGACTGAAATTGGCGACAGAAAAGGGGAAGCAACATGTTTTGGAAACCTGAGCAATGTGTGTAAGTTGATTGGCCAATATGACAAGGCTAAAGAGTATCTCAAAAAAGCGCTTGTCATCATAGCTGAAATTGGCGACAAAAAAGGGGAAGCATCATGTTATGGAAACCTAGCTACTATGTTTAAGTCGCTAGGCCAGTACGACGAGGCTATAGAGTATCTCCAAAAAGCGCTTGTTATCCGAACTGAAATTGGCGACAGAAAAGGGGAAGCATCATGTTATGGAAACCTAGGCACTGTGTTTCTGTCGCTTGGCCAATATATCAAGGCTAATGACTATCTCCAAAAAGGGCTTGTGATCACAACTGACATTGGTGACAGAAACGGGGAGGCAACTAACTGCGGAAACCTAGGTACTGTGTATGAGTTGCTTGGCCAATACGAAAAGGCTAAAGAGTATCTCCAAAAAGCGCTTGTCATCAGAACTGAAATTGGCGACAAGAAAGGGGAGGCAACTGACTGCGGAAACCTAGGTAATGTGTTTCAGTCGATTGGCCAATACGACAAGGCTCTAGAGTATCTCCAAAAAGCGCTTGTCATCACAACTGAAATTGGCCACAGACAAGGGGAAGCATCATGTTATGGAATCCTAGGTACTGTGTTTATGTCGCTTGGCCAATACGGCAAGGCTAAAGAGTATCTCCAAAAAGCGTTTGTCATCATAGCTGAAATTGGCGACAGAAAAGGGGAAGCATCATGTTATGGAAACCTAAGTACTGTGTTTCTGTGGCTTGGCCAATACGACAAGGCTAAAGTGTATCTCCAAAAAGCGCTTGTCATCAGAACTGATATTGGCGACAGAGAAGGGGAGGCAACTGACTACGGAAACTTAGGTGCTGTGTTTAAGTCGCTTGGCCAATACAGCAAGGCTAAAGAGTATCTCCAAAAAGCGCTTGTCATCAGAACTGACATTGGCGACAGAAAAGGGGAAGCATCATCTTATGGAAACCTTGGTACCGTGTTGCTGTCGCTTGGCCAATACGACAAGGCTAAAGAGTATATCCAAAAAGCGCTTGTGATCAGAGTTGAAATTGGCGACAAGGAAGGGGAGGCAACTGACTACGGAAACCTAAGTACTCTGTTTCTGTCGCTCGGCCAATACGAGAAGGCTAAAGAGTATCTCGAAAAAGTGCTTGTCATCAGAACTGAAATTGGCAACAGAAAAGGGGAAGCCTTATGTTATGGAAACCTAGGTGCTGTGTTTCTGTCGCTTGGCGAATACGACAAGGCTAAAGAGTATCTTCAAAAAGCGCTTGTCATCAGAACTGAAATTGGCGACAGAAATGGGGAGGCAACTGTCTACGGAAACCTAAGTACAGTGTTTCTATCGCTCGGGCAATATGACAATGCTAAACAGTATCTTCAAAAAGCAGTTGTCATTACAACTGAAATTGGTAATAAGGAAGGGGAAGCAGTACATCTTACAAACCTTGGAGGAGTGTTTAGAACTGTTGGTGATTATGAAGCTTCGGAAGTATGTTTGGAGAAAGCTTTATTCGTATCCAGAGATATTGGAGCTGGAAGAACAGAGTTCGAAATCCTTAGAGGTTACGCCATTTTGTATTTATTTCAAAATAAAATCAAAGATTCTCTGTCGTGTCTTCGTCTGTGCATTGAAAAGTATGAGGAGCTGAGATATTTTTTGGGCGCCAATGATCAGTTCAAAACATCATTTCTGGAGCACTCAGGAATATTTCCCTACAAGCTGCTTTGTACTTTGCTCTGTTACACCGGAAATGCTTGGGATGCTCTTTATGTTGAAGAGTTGAGTCGAGCTAGAGGCCTATCAGACTTAATGGCAGAGAAGTACTCGGTTGAAACGCACATCTTTGCCAATTCACAATCTTGGTTTGGCATTGAGAACATTTTAAGAAAGAAAAATAACTGTACTTGTCTGTACATTTCTTATTTTCAGAATCGTCTGCATTTGTGGATCTTGAAAACAAGTGGAGTCCTTCACTATAAAAGAATGTCACTAGAAGAGAATCTAGTTCAGGCTGGGTTGCCCAAAGATTTGTCTTTGAGTCAATTTTTGGATGATAATTTCCGGAGTCTTGGTATTTTGCCCCCTAAAGATTGTGAAGATCGGTCTTTAAATACGATTAAAGTGCAACCTCTCTCCCCCGCACAAAAGAGCTCAGCAACATTGCGACTCGTGGAGGAGGATGAGGACAAGGAGGTCATTTCAAGTCTATCTTTGTGTTACAAAATTTTTATTGCTCCCGTTTATGATTTGCTTGAGGGGCCTGAAGTCATCATCGTTCCTGACCGCAGTTTGTACAAAGTTCCCTTTGCTGCACTGAGTGAAAAGGAGGGAGCCGGATACCTCTCGGAGACTCATAGGATCCGTGTCATTCCTTCTTTGACAACACTCAAGATTATTGAAGATAGTCCGGAGGGCTATCACAGCAACACTGGTGCCTTGATAATAGGCAATCCCAAGGTTAATTGGCTACCGCAATTGCCATTTGCAAGAAAGGAAGCGGAGATGGTTGGACGACTGATGCGTGTTCCGCCTCTGCTAGAAGAGAAAGCAACCAAGCAGGCGGTGCTTGAGCGGATAGGTTCAGTGAGCCTGATACATTTTGCTGCCCATGGCAACGCCCAAAGAGGAGAAATTGCCCTCTCCCCCATTCCTATTCTCAACAGTCAAAATGCTATCCCACCACAGGAAGCTTACATGTTGACGATGGCTGATGTCTCACGAGTGAAAGTTAGAGCTAAACTGGTGGTACTTAGCTGCTGTCACAGTGGAAGAGGTGAGATAACAGCCGAGGGAGTGATAGGAATTGCCCGTGCGTTCTTAGGATCTGGTGCTCGCTCGGTGTTAGCTGCGCTGTGGGCCATTCCAGACTTAGCAACGGAGCAGCTGATGAATCGGTTCTACAAACACCTTGTTGAAGGAGAAAGTGCCAGTGAATCCCTTCATCAAGCCATGAAGTGGATGAGAAAAAACGGCTCGAGAAAAATGTCTGATTGGGCTTCGTTTACGCTGATTGGAGATGATGTGAGGCTCGAGTTTGACCCTGAAGCAGAGGTAAGACTCGGTCAGAACAGGTATTTCATAAATGAAAGTTAAATTAGATGTGAAGGTGGCTTTGACTTACTGGTCGCTGACTGTCGGCGGGAATCCTTTGTCACCATGAATGCCAAAGCTACTTTTATACCATTTTTTTTGGTTTCTTTCAAATAGTAACAATTGATTCTCCCAATTAGATGTAAAATATATAATCTAGAAAGCGCCTTTCTGCCGATCAGATACAAGTACACATTTGCCATCATATTGCGTTTGGTATAACTGTTTATTTATAATTGTTTTTCTTCTTTACGTTTGTTGTAGGAAAGAGGATGAGAATATCTCGAAGGAAACAGACCTTAGAGACTTTTAAATGGATGAACAAATAGAACGAATTAAGAAAATACTCTATCAGTTATTTTATTGTGTAATTAAAGAATGGGCAATCTTCAATTAAGCATATGAATTATAATTTTTTTTGCGTTTTCTTTTTCGATCTTCTCAGAAGGAGGTATTGGTTCCGTATTCGAGAGAGATTTTATTCTGCGCAAAAATGATCTTATCCGGCTGATATAAGTAGCACCAAACATTATTGACGAAGGGCTCTTAAGTGAAATCAGGAAAGTTGAAACAGTAGTTTAAGCATCAAAAATGAGCCAGTTGTCTTAAAGGGTTTTCTCTCAAGGCCTTTGATTTTTTTGTTATAGGTTTCGTTCACAGAATCCTAAATTTTTGACAAAAAGTCTTAAAAGAAAACCTTTCCTTATGGTCATTTCCAGTACCACTTCTTAGTGCTTAAAAGACTGAAAAATACATGGATTTCTAAAAAGGACCATGGAAAAAGCTATCAAAGTCAAGAATGGTATTACTAAAAAGTGGAAAAGTTACGGCAGCAATATTTTGAGACTGGTTCAATAAGTCACTTAAGCATGAGGAATTCGTATTCCTACCCCAACCTACTTGTCCCAAACCCCTTCCCTCCTCCACTTCGCTCTGCTTAAAAAAGGAAATTAAGGAGATGGATTCTGGCCGGTTTTGTTCGGAAACCTTTCTGTGAGTTATGTTTCTTATGAATCAAGAACATCGATCATTCCTACCCCAACCTACTTGCCCCAACCTCCCTCCCTCCCCCACTCCGTTCTGCTTCAAAGAGCGCATATAGTAGTAATCAGTTTGCTGGATAAATTTGTTATTCTTTTTGCTCTCGACCAATTAGCCCGCAACAGTTCTCACAGCTATTTTAAAAGCTTTTAATAAGAAATTCCTGCGCAAAATTTTGAAGTCATTCTGAAATTTTGTAGGTAACTGGCTTTTCTTTGTGTTCTGGTAGTGTTGCGCTTTTTCTAGACCATGAAACGTTACTGTCAAGTGCAATTTCTTGGGCATTTTACTTTACTTCCAATGGACAGAGGCGTAAGTAAAAAGGAACTTAGCAACAGTGCTTAGCAACAGTTAGGTGAATATTTCCCATATAAGGTGATTCGATATATGAGCTGATTACCTGAGGTGAATGAAAAAATTAGAACACTAGAAACGAAATATCCGGAGGCAAAAATTTGAGACGGTCAAGAATGGTATTACTAAAAAGTGGAAAAGTTACGGCAGCAATATTTTGAAACTGGTTCAATAAGTCACTTAAGTATCGTAATGTTTGATACGTTTTAATTTTTTCATGGTGATTTAATCGTTTTCAAGTCGGGTTATTGTCAGAAAGTTGGTTTGAGAATAAAAATATTCTTGTTTTTACCACACTTTTATACACTCCTCTTTTTTGGGAAACTTTCCTAAGGGATTATGTAGTAATTCCAAAGACGCTAATATAAAAGAAAGCTTGAGAGAAATCTTAGAAAATATCGTGAGCGTCTGTTTTTTAACCAGGTTACAGAGTAAAACAGAAAGCACTGTTGTTCATTGTTCAGGCGTGCATTTCTCTGATCGTTTCTCCTCCAACCATGTGACTTGATTCTCGTCCTACAATCAAATAAATTCTGGCGATGAAGTTCTGGTGATCAGCATTCCAGTGTCAAATAGTAATCCTAATACATGTATCACTAGATATAGCGTCAAATTATCGTATTATAGGAGCCAAACGAGTTTTTCATCCCTTTATTTGATGCAAATGACATTAATTTCATTCTTGAGGCATGAAAAAGTAATTGCATGCACGAAAAAAGGCTCGATCATGTCACGTTTTCTTGATATGGTGTCCTTCTCGTCTCCTTCTTTAGCTATTTCTAAGGGCGTTTAACATCACACTAATTATTCCGAACGTTAATATACCTGAACTATGAGTATCAGCGCATGAGGAATTCGTATTCCTACCCCAACCTACTTGTCCCAAACCCCTTCCCTCCTCCACTTCGCTCTGCTTAAAAAAGGAAATTAAGGAGATGGATTCTGGCCGGTTTTGTTCGGAAACCTTTCTGTGAGTTATGTTTCTTATGAATCAAGAACATCGATCATTCCTACCCCAACCTACTTGCCCCAACCTCCCTCCCTCCCCCACTCTGTTCTGCTTCAAAGAGCGCATATAGTAGTAATCAGTTTGCTGGATAAATTTGTTATTCTTTTTGCTCTCGACCAATTAGCCCGCAACAGTTCTCACAGCTATTTTAAAAGCTTTTAATAAGAAATTCCTGCGCAAAATTTTGAAGTCATTCTGAAATTTTGTAGGTAACTGGCTTTTTCTTTGTGTTCTGGTAGTGTTGCGCTTTTTCTAGACCATGAAACGTTACTGTCAAGTGCAATTTCTTGGGCATTTTACTTTACTTCCAATGGACAGAGGCGTAAGTAAAAAGGAACTTAGCAACAGTGCTTAGAAACAGTTAGGTGAATATTTCCCATATAAGGTGATTCGATATATGAGCTGATTACCTGAGGTGAGTGAAAAAATTAGAACACTAGAAACGAAATATCCGGAGGCAAAAGTTTGGGAGTGTGTCCACGAGAGCACCAGGCAGTCTTGCTACATGCCATCTCACTGGTTTCAATGAAACTTTGCCAGTTTAAAGGGTCTACCCCGAAACTCAAACAGACAAACTGGTTTCCGGTTTTGGTTCTTTCCGGGGGAAGGATAGACCACCTCCTAGTTTCTCTCGTTTTCACCAGGGAAATCGCTTTAAAATGGGCAAAATGTATGAAGCTCTCACTGCGATGTAACAAAATTTGAGAGGGGGTCAATGTTTAGTGACAGTAGGAGACAGACAACTCTGAAACGTCATGTAACTGTCAAAGAGTTTACACTTCTAGTCGTATATTCCCCTCTCTCGCAACAGCTCAGCAGATAGTATTGATCCTATGCAGTGTACGTGTATCAGTTGTATTGCGTCCTCATAGTGATGCTACATAAGTGAGCGAGTGTCTAAAAATCCCTCAATTCAATCTAAAACTCGGACTGCCGGACAGGGGAGGAAACTAGTAAGAAGTGTGGCTTCTCAAATATGGAGTTTAAGAGACGACACCAGCCAGAAATGTTGTATAGGACAGACTGGTTAATAGAGCAGCAGATCGCTTGATACTTCAGCCGAATATCTGCCTTGACAAAAGCTGGTTTATTGAAGAGGTTTTCCTCTGTAAGTATGAATAAGGACGAAGAGGTTGATGCAGATGATCTAGTTTCAGAAACTGACCGAACAATCAGAAGGGACCTTGAAAAATTTAGACGATGACTGCAAGGGAGGGTACAGCTGGCAGCTGCCACAGGCTATAAAAAAAATACAGACCTTTGCATCTCACTTTCCTCTCAAATTTATCGTATTTACCCATGAAAACAACTAGATGTGTCCTTGGGTTTTTTCATCACGAGAAATTTGCAGGAAGCCTACTGGTCAAAATATTGCTGGCTCATTCTTCGAGTCACGCAATTCAAAGTCGGTAAGTCAACGTTGGCAACACTCGATCGAGAGAGATGCAGATTTACATGTAGATATAGGATGCTTAAAAAAAAGGAAGATATTTTACGATCGAGGTAAGCAGATACATATAAAGACCTACAGAAGATTCTGAAATTTTTGTTTAGCAGACAGCGCGAACAGCGAAAAGTATTCGGGTCACGATGCACATCGTGATGCACATGTTAGTTTTAACGGAGTTCTGCATTGAAGTGTTCGATGGCGGTAAGTGTCAACGACAACACTATTTTACTTTATCTCTGGAATAGTAGCACAGTTTTTGAATGTAAAAGAGCTATTGGTATTTTCTCTCAGGCAAGAGGGCAGATGTTCGCGGCCGTAAAAGCCGAAGTTGTTGCACAGGGAACTTGTATGTCAACCAACACTCCGCAATTGTGACTTTAAAATCTTCTGAAATGAGCGGTAACAAATCATAGCCTAATGAATGTTTTGTGCCGTACAAAAGCCATATTTGCAGATTTTAGTAAATTTCCAAAGTAACAAACGACAAAAGAAAGAAACACTACGATTTCCCATCAACATTTCGCTTACACGCATCTCTCTTGACGTGAAATTAATTTCCATTCCTTAAAAAAAATCTCGAAAATTGTTCACATTTCTTAGCTTCCTTAATGAACCATCATGGATAACGAGCTGTAACATATAGAAGTTTATAACATAGCTAGTAAATTTGTGTAATCAAATGCAATTGCGCGAGCGTGCTTCATTGAAGAAATGTAAAATGGTTTCCGTGTTTACATAGCCTGATGTAAACACTTGGGAGGTTGGGAGAACACGAGATAAGCAAAGCGAAGTGGTTTCCAGCTTATCGAGTGTTCTCCCAACCTCCCAAGTGTTTACATCAGGCTATGTAAACACGGAGACCATTTTACATTTCTTTTATAAAATAACTAATGAAAGTGGAATGAAAACCGTGTTTACATACGCTCATGTAAAATGGTTTTATGGCCAATCAGAGCGCGCGTACTGTTTGAATTATTTTATAAATTCCTATTGTGCACGCTCATGACGTCACAAACAAATCCCTCGAGAAAACAAATTTTCCATCTGGTTGAAAATGTTATAAAACAATTGGTTCATGCGTCAGCTGTGCGTTCATCGAGA